TGTTATAAACAGATAGACAGATAAATAGATAGATAGATAACCTATGGGTTCTGTTTCTCTGGAGAACCCTAACACACCCCAGCAGTTCGAGTCACCTTCATTATGTAGTAAAGACAAGCCATTCCAACTACGCACTATAGAAACTCCTGACCCATGGAATCCAGGAGCAGACTAAAATAATTATTTTATGCCACTAAGTTTGCAATGTTTGTTATGCAGCAACTGATAACCAGAAGAAAGATCTAGAGATACAGTGATATAAATACAGTGTACAATTATAGTCTCAGAAGGAGAGAAGACAATAGGGAAGAAGCAATATTTGAACAAATAATGGGAGAGAGTTCTCTAAAACTCATGAAAGACATCAGGATACAGATTTAAAAGTCCCTATGAACCCACTAAAAAAATACACAGAAAAGCATACCTAAGTATATCATAGTAAAGCTAATGGAATCCAAACCTAAAGAGAAACTATGTTTCAGAAGACTGCTAGAGAACAAAAACAAATTCCCTTTAAGGAGCAAAATAATAATAATAATAATTTCTGACTTCTCAATAGACCACAGAAGCAAAACAAAACAAAACAAAACCCACACAACAAAAGTACAATATATTCAAAATACAGAAAGAAAAAAACAACTGGCAACACTGAATTCCATACTTAACATAGCAGAAGCTATTGATGTCCCTTAAGCCCACTTTTAATGTTGGCTTCATTTGTGGTCAACAATCGAGTAATCTTAATTACATCTGCAAATTCCCTTTTGCCATGTACACATACCCTCTGATCCACCAATCCCACTTCTAGGTATATATCCAACTGAAATGTGTGTATTACCTTCACCAAAAGACATGTAGTATTATGTTCATAGCAGCAGTTTTTATAATAGCCCAAACTTGGAAACTACTCAACACTCCTCAATAGAAGAATAGTGGGTATGTTTGCTCAGTGGAATTCTATATAGCAGTCAAGAATGAAAAATAGTATAGAGGAATTTTATAAACATTAGGTTGAACAAGAAAAGCCGGATACAAAGAATACCAGTCATCTATATAAAGTACAAAAACAAGAAAAACTTATCTGTGGAGTTAGAAGTCAGGATTGGGGTTGCCCTTGGAGAAAGGCGGGGACTGGCAGGAGGCATGGAGAGCGCATTTGGGGTGCTAATAATATTGTCTTGATCTAGGTGTGTCCAACTTGTGAAAAGTTAGCAAGCTAGGTACTTACTATTCGTGTGAATATTTTAAATTATTACTTCAATAGAATTTTAGAAAATCCAGAAAGAATCTTCACACAATTACCAGAAATAATAGAATTTATAGAAATGGCTGAAAGTATAATTAACATACAATCAATTACATTTCTACACACCCGCAGCAACCAGAATACATAGTTTAAAAGACACCATTTACAGCAGAATCAGAAAACGTCAAGTGCCTAGAAATTAATCTAACAAAACCTATGCCAATCTCTGTAAAAAAAATTATAAAACTTTATGCAAGGACATTAAAGAGGACTTAAACATATGGAAAGATATGCTATATTCATACTTTGGAAAACACATCATAAAAATGTCAGTTCTTTCCTAATTGATCCGTAGATTTAACGCAAATGCAAACAAAATTCAGACTGGCTGACTCTAAAATGAATCTAGAAGACAAAAAGTTGAGTATTTCCCTTCTAACGAAGAAAACGTGGTGCATAATTTCCCTGCCTGTGGTTAGGGTGTACTAAAGAATTAAGAGAGTGTGAAACTGATAAAGACAAGACAAAGTGACCAATGGAACAGAATAGAGAGTTAGACCCACAGATGTATGGAACTTTGGTATATGCAAAGGTAACATATCAGATTGGTGGAGAAGGTAATGACAATCCAGTACATAAAGCTGGAAAAAATGGCTATACATATGAAAAGAAAGAAAACTGTATCTCTAACTCACTCTACACAGAAAAATAAAACTCTAAATGAGTCAATAATAAGACTTTAAATTAGTATAAAATATAGGTGAATGTCTTACAGACTTTGGAGTAGAAAAGTATTTTTTATTTTTTTTTATTTTTATTTTTTTTTATGGGACACAATAACTAACTACATTGTATATTGACAAAATAAAAAAAAATAAAAAAAAGAAAAGTATTTTTTAAACAAGACACAAAAAGCAAAAACTCAGAAAAGATTGATAAATTTGACATTAAAATTAATAACTTTTATCAAAAACCCCTTAAATAAATGAAAGTCAAACCTTAAAGGTTCCCAGTCCAATCCAGAAAAAAAAAGAGTGAGATACGTTCATCCCATTTTAATTTCACAAAAGTTTATAAGATATTTAGTAAGTATACACAGAAATTAATGAACAGAGAACTGAAATAGAAATCAATAAAAATAAATGAGGTTCTTTGAGATTTTATAGATTTTATGATAAGATTGCCATATCTCTTGTAAGACTGATCAAGGAAAAATGCAAATACAGATTGAAAAAGAAGAAAAAATCACATTATGATGTTACCAGAGGAGAGGATCTGGGGAGGTCAGGCCACTGACCTTTCAACCCTGTCTCCTACCAGGTTCTTGACTCCATTGCAGGAAAGAATTCAAGGACAGAATCAGAGTAGAAAGCAAAACCACGTTTTATAGAAAGAACAAGGAATACACACTTCATAGGCAAAGTACGGGCTGACACAAGAGTGAGTAGCAGCCTCGCTTTGGTCCTGGACTCTACCTTTATAGTTGGCTATCTATACATATTCATGTTATCTACAAGTATTTAATTAGAGAGTGGCTCCTGATTATGCAAGTCTTATATAACTCTAGCCATGCACGTACTCTGTGGCTTTTGGAGCATGCTCAGTGGTCAAATTCCAGCAAACACACCAAGTATCCTTAAATTATACTCAGTGCTCTCTAGCGCCTCCAGTGGAAGATCATTCAAGGACAAACTCCTTTCTACTGAGCATGCTCAGCTTCTAAAATTGGTCAAACTTGCCTCCTACATACATCCCAATCTTTGCACATTGTGCTTGAAAATAGGAGCAACATGCAACAGTTACTCTCTTCTGGCTCAGAGCCCAGAGGAGGGCCCTGAGCTCCAGAGGAGTGGCCTGAGACCCAGACTCTGGGAAACTGAGCACCTCCTCTCTCAATAAAACTGGATTAAGTACGATAAGGGAAAACAACAGTAGTGAAACCACAGTTCTTATCTACTGGGATAGAGGGGGACACAGACAGTGATGTAAGCCACAATACAGTAAGTTAAGGACTCCCATCTCCTATTGTACTCATCTGCCCAGCAAAGTCTGTCTAAAAAAGTAGAGAACATATTCCAAGTAAATACATTCATTCATTCATTTATTCAAAAGCCACATTTGGCTCTCTACTCCAGACTGCATCCCAATGCCTGGCACAGAGACAAAAATGATTACACGGGACAAAAACCAAAGGACTGGGATGGAAGGAAGCAGCTCATAACTAGGAGAGGGAAGAAGCAGCTATTCGGGAGTGAGCAGAGGGAAGGATATGACCAGAGCCTTCCATCTACTGTTGTGACGAAGATGGCAGTGATGTGAGGCATGACAAAATTAACAAGCCTCACAGTCCAGGACAGACATCTATAGAGACAGGGCATCTGCCCTAGTCAATTGCCTGCTTTCTCAGTTTGCTGGCTGGATGTAAACCTAGAAGGAAACTTGAGCAGATACTGGGATGCTCTATCCAAATCCTCTCTTCTTGGTCAGTCAGCTGCCTTCCTCACTGGGAATTGTCTTCAGCTTCAGGAAACTGCCACCCATGGTCAAGGGGCAGCAGGCCATGGTCAAGGGACTGGCTGATGCAGGAGCACAAAGGCCTTGTCCCCTTGCTTATTTGGGACAGCTATGAAGTGACATACTAATTCCAGAGCTCCTTGTTGGAAAAGGTGAGGCCTCAGTTGTGACCACACTGTGGGTCACCTTATCCTGCTTTCCTCAACTCCCTGCAGGTGTACTTTCTAAGAGCATTCCCCAATAAACCAGCACTCAGCTGTCTCAGTATGTTTCCAGGAAACCTAATCTAAGGCAAAAATTTAAAGGACCTTTTTAGCATTCTCCCTTAGAGCCCAAACAAAGCATTCTTTACCTTTTTTGGAAGTCATGAATCCCTTTGACAATATAATGAAAGCTAAGGACCCTCTTCTTAGAAAAATACACGTAGGCACTTAATGTAAACTTTTACATACTATTTTGGAGATTCTCCTCATCTTTACTGCCCAGCTCAAACTTTACCATCCACAGAAGCCTCAAGTAGCTCTTTGTACATAATCATAAAATTAGCCACCATTTGTTGAGCGCTTACTGTCTATAAGTCCCTGTGCTAAGTGCTTTAACTTCATGATGCCTTTGATCATGACATAACTTTGCAGGGTAGTTACTAAGATCTTCCTTTTAGAGATTTAAGGTCTAGCCCAAAGTGGTACAGTTTATAATTAGCAGACACTGGATTAAAACCCCAATTTGCTTGTAAAGCTTGTGTTTTGAAAAAATGACAAGGAAAGAGAAGGTTAAAGAAAGAAAGGTCCTCTCCGAGGTCGCCGAAGTGTTAAAAGTGTCAGAGTTGGGATTTAAACCCATGTCTAACCTCAGAGCTGGCTCTGTTTAGGTTTAACGTGTAAGGGCCCAAGAGAACAAAGTAAGTTGATTTTATCCCGACTCTGCCCTTTGCTGCTCTTTTGTCTTTTATGTTTATTTCCATAGAGATTCCCAAAAGATTTTTGTAAAAATCTTTTAGAAAGCATCCCTGTTCATAAAGGGGCAGCATGTCGGCTGCCATAGAGTGGCAGCTCCATGAAGCCCCGCCCATAGAGGGGCGGTGCGTCAGCTTCCGTACAACATGGCGACGCCCTTTGCGCCACACTGCTGGTTCTGACGCAACTTCCTGTCTCGCGCAGGCGTATTTGACCTTTGAACTCACAAGCGCTTTCTTTTTCCTCTTCCGGGACGGCGTCTAGAGGTATGGTAGCTTTTTGATTTTTCTTGTCTGTCTTTTCACAATCGGCCGCCATCCGAGGAGTTGCGGGAATCCGGAGCTCTCAGCAGCAGTCCTTTGAGCTGGCATAGAAGTTAGGAGCGCAGGAGGAAGGCTGGTGGTGAGCATGTCCCCTACTTTGAGCTTCAGAAACCCCTCGAGCCTGGGGCCCCTCCGAAGCCTTGAGTATCCTGAACTCACCACCTGCAGTTTTTTCGCCTTCAAAATGAGGCGTTTGGAGACAGAAACGGGAGGTGGTCTGAGACCGGGAAATCGCCGCAAATCGCCGAACTTTGTCAGCTTTTAAGCCCACGTTTTAACACCGCGCATGTAGATGTTCTTAGGCTTTGGGAGGGCGGGGACCGGTGAGTTCAGGTGGTTGTTCGGCTGTTAGATTCTGTTCCTGAGGTTAATAGCAAGGAAGAGAAAAGTATATTAATGGGGGGCTTTCCGTCTTGTTTTGGAAGAGCAGTCGGAGTAGTGGCTTTTTGGGTCACTTGTACTGGCCTTCGGGGTGGGTTTTGGTGTCTGACAGTTCCATTTTAGTGTAACGTAAGGAGCTTGTGACAACAAATGCAGGCCTTTTTCTTTAATAAAAATGCTGTAATTTGGAATGAAAGATTACATTGGTTCAAGTCTTGATTATGTTTTTTGTTACTTTGTGTAGTTTACTTAAAAACGAAATTGTTCATTTGAATATCTGTGTAACCGATTTGCTAAGTAGCATTATCAAATATTATTTCTGCTTCATAAATGGGGGTGGGAGCGGGAAACAGCTGCCATAATTTAAAGACATTCATCCAATACCGAAATTAGTAGTAAAGGGCACTTACCTTGATTCAGATGCTGCTTTGGGGCAACATGTTGAATCCTGAGCGTCTTGTTGTGTGGCAGGCACGGTGATGTGTGGAATAGCTCATTGTTATTTTATTCTGGCAACTGTATAAACTAGGTAAAAATGTCATTTAAGACATAAAGAAACTAGCCCATTGTGCAGTGTATTCCCGCTAAATGGCATAGCTAAGGATTCAGCGTCAGACCTCATTTGTGCTCTTTAAACCAGTGTTTCTCCAACTTGCTTAGTGCACTGTTGTGGACACCACTCCAAACAAGAATAGACTTACAGGAAAGAGCCTGGTAATCAGATTTTTAACCAAGTGCCACATTTGATTGCCATCAGGAAAACTAACATTCATTGCTTCTTATCAGTCACCTCTAAATATAAGTAGTTTTAAAATGTGAAATCCTTTAAGTAAGATGCTTTATGTTTTGTTTTGGTTTTTTTTTTTTTTTTTTTTTTTTTTTCCTTTTTGAGACTGGCCACACCGCGCTCAGCCAGTGAGCGCTGTGAGTGCACCGGTCATCCCTATATAGAATCCGAACCCACGGCGCTCCCAGCTCCGCACTCTCCCGAGTGCGCCGCGGGCTCGGCCCTAAGTAAGATGCTTTAATGTAAAGGTGGTATGTATATAAGTATATATGGATAATGTATAAAATACATGACACTGTTTTGAGGTTTGAATTACTTTTACAATGGAAAAACTTGATTTTATTCCATTCTTAATTTAGGCACTCAGAATGGTCCAGCGTCTGACATACCGTCGTAGGCTTTCCTACAATACAGCCTCTAACAAAACTAGGCTGTAAGTATTTCTAAAATATAAAATACATATTGTCATTTACTGTACAAAATGCTGACCTATTGCCTTTCATCTCACATCCTAGGTCCCGAACCCCTGGTAATAGAATAGTTTACCTTTATACCAAGAAGGTTGGGAAAGCACCAAAATCTGCATGTGGTGTGTGTCCAGGCAGACTCCGAGGGGTAAGTAATCCTTTCGCTGTGAACAACATAACAAGGGTTGAATTTTTGAGCATTAATCCTTTCCTAGGGGTATGAGTAAAGGAGAGACTCTCACTAAGAGGGTTGAGGATTACTAAATATACATGATCCAAATCGGCCAAGAATATAAACCTTCTTTTAAACCAGTGAGAAATGTATTGTGAAGTGTCTTTCAGATAAATCAGTACAATACACCATTTCCCTTTGTAACCTAGTTTAACATTGTCACTTAACCACATACCAAAATCTAGGAAAATTTCTGTTTCTGTTAAAGCATTGAAGAATAATCCCTGTTTTCCCTATGCAGGTTCGTGCTGTGAGACCTAAAGTTCTTATGAGATTGTCTAAAACGAAAAAACATGTCAGCAGGGCCTATGGTGGCTCCATGTGTGCTAAGTGTGTTCGTGACAGGTAAGTGCTTAAATCAAATGGGCTTTCTTAAGCAAATGCATGTATGTGTGTCTTTTACACCACATGCTAATCATTAGAGGACTGGTGAAAAATAACTCATTTTAAACAAAAGTTCCATATTTTAGAATCCTTCCTCGGCTGTGGGTAATTACTGCTGTGCAAATCAATAAGTCATTTTCAGATTAATTCAGTCAGAATTTTGGGGAATCTTTATGATAGATGTAGAAATTAAAAGGAAGGCAGGTCATAGGTAGATGGAGGGAGGAATGTCTTAAAAGTGTAGGAATAAAATTGCTGTGTGTAGTTCTAATGTGGCTGGAGCAGAGGGTTATAGGAGGTGGTAGACAACAAAGGTTAAAAAATCAGGTTATGAAGGGCCTTACAGAATAAAAGACAGATTGTTAGCTTGATTCTTAAAAACCTGAGAATGGGTGGATTTTAAGCAGGGCAGAGAACCCTTTGGTGTACCAGAAACAAACTGTAGCTGTGTGGATGGTGAAGCCATTTGCTTACCAAATGGTGAGTGTTTGGAACATGCAATTTCTCTTTGTTGTGAAGGTTCAGGAAAATAGCAACCAAGTCTTACTGGTTAAGTTCACATAGCTGGTAAGGGGCAGTGCTGGGATTCAGTCCAGGTTTTAATCTTAATCCCTCTGGCTACGTTAAATTGCCTTCAAAGAAGGTATCAGTGGAAGGAATTCAGAGGTGATTGGTCTTCACAGGTGAAGAAATTGATTATGAGGAGTAGTTTTGCTTCCAGTCTATTCAGCTAGTTCTTTAAAGGTGCCCTAGTTTCTTTCTTTTTTTTTTTTTTTTCCTTTTTGTCTTTTTTACTGACCCGTAACGGGATCGCAACCTTCGGTGTTGTGCCCGCACCACGCTCAGCCAGTGAGCGGGAACCGGTCTCTTTTTTCCTTTTTGTCTTTTTTACTGACCCGTAACGGGATCGCAACCTTCGGTGTTGTGCCCGCACCACGCTCAGCCAGTGAGCGGGAACCGGTCTCCACATGGGATCCGAACCCTTGACGGGAGCGCCACCGTGCTCCCAAGCAGCGCACTCTCCAGTGCGCCACCGGGCCGGCCCAAGGTGCCCTAGTTTCTAAGTCAAATCTTTTTCAGGTCAAACCTTCCAGGTTCCATTCTGTTTCTTAGGAGTTTATAAGGAAACAGTAGGACATATTATATTAATACGAGTACAGGATAAATATTATTCCTGTGCGATACATAAAAACTTAACTATGAAGTTTAGAAGAGAAATTACTTTCAAGTAGCTGGGAGTCTGTGAATGGCATTTGAGGTGGAACCTGAATGATAGTTAAGTTTTAGAAAAAAAGCAGAACTATGAGAATGAGAAATGATATTGGAGACAAGTGAGTCATGATTTTCAGGCTAGAGGAGTTTGCTTTTTAACAGTCTTTTGTTCCCAAACTTTGTTGAACATAATCACCTGGGCACACATTAAAAATATAAACTCTCAGACCCTAGCTCTTAGAGATTTGAATTTAAGTCTACAGGATGGCCTAGAAATTATCGTTATTAACTGTGACACTGAGTTGAGTCTGTGTGTGGTCTTTGCTCTGAGTATGTTTAGGGGATTTATTTTTTTGTTTGTTTTTTGGCAGCTGGCAGATACAGGGATTGAACTCTGAACCTTGGTATTATCAGCACCATGCTGTAACCATCTGAGCTAACCAGCCAGCCCAGTTTAGGGCATTTTTTAAGGGTGGCATGAGTTGTATCTCTAACATGATTACATTGGGGAGATTTGAAGGAGTTAGAAGTCCCAGGATTTTGAGGCTACGTAATTAGATAACCAGGTATCACTTGAGAACACAGGGTGGAACAGGTGTAAGTGGGAACAAGATGAGTGCTTTACCTCCGGAGATATTTTAATTTAACATATGCCGGCGAGCATTTACTTTTTTTGGCCACATTCTGTGCAATACTGATGATAGTGATCAATAAAATGCACTCTCCTTAATTGAGGTGTTCAAAATCTAGAAAATCCTTCCAGATTTAATCCTCATAAAATCCCTGTGAAATAGGTATGAAATTATTCTTGTACCTTACTGCAGAGAAGGTAACTTGCCCAAGGTGACACAGCTAGTGAGTGGTGGTGTTGGCCCCAACAGTTAGGCCCTAGAAACTTGCTCTTGATGAAGTGCCTCTTGATTTTATAGCTCCCAGCACATATCCCCTTCTGTGCTGTTTTTTACTGGAAATTTTCAGTAACGTGGTTAAATTATCCTAAGACATTTTTTAAATCAAATACCAGTATGTCCTAGATCCTAATAAAAAACATTGTATTAAATGAAAGCTATCATAAGTGGCAGAATGGTCTCTGTGGTGATGATTTCATAGTTTATTATGACTCATCAGAGGCAGGTACTACTGGCATGGAATTGAAGAATTACCCTGCTTTAAATGTTACTGCAGGAAGGAGGCCTTAGGCTGAAAGGGCCCATGTGTATAATTTCAGCTCTTAAATTTTAATCTGTACTTGTGTATTTCATACTTTTTTGGGTTCCCTGATTGCTTTGCTCAGTTCTTCTATTGTACTTCTCCTGTTCTGTGCTAAATAATAAATGTTTGTTTTTCAAAAACTATTCATTTAATATTTTCCTTTGTAGGATCAAGCGTGCTTTCCTTATTGAGGAGCAGAAAATCGTTGTGAAAGTGTTGAAGGCACAAGCACAGAGTCAGAAAGCTAAATAAAAAAATGAAGCTTTTCTAAGGAATAAAAAAATCAAAAGGCTTGTTTGGTGTCAATCTCTTGTAATATGTTAGTAAGTATGGAGGTTTGGTTTCTGCGAGGTATTTGGGGACTCCATGGTTTTTAGTTAATTAATTTTTCTCAAGGAAACAATAATTGAGGGTCACTGATTGCTAGAAATTTTTGTTGGCAGCTCTGGCCACTGCTCTGGAGCATAGGTGCCTTTCTATTTGTGGTGTAAGATCTCGGAGTGGTTTGAGATTGAATAGCTCTTCCATCTGAACCTTTCTTTAGTACCACTTTGATCATTTTTATATTATCTCCTTTACATCACCAGGTTTTAGTAGGACAGAAACATCTTGTCTTCGAGTAACTTGAAGACATCTTTAAACACTTATTTTAGTTCAGTTCAAAAATAGTCTCTTTTGGAAAGCTCAAAACTCTTTATTCAGCAAATAATGAGCTCTTACTATATATAAAATATTAGGTCATGTGGTCTAGTGAAATTCAAATTCTAATATAGGTGGGATTTACAATCCAGGTCAGAACATTAAAACACGGATCTTGTATTTTCTCTAGGGAACTGTAATATTGTTTTGACAACCCTTAATAAAACAAGGTTATGTAAAAATTTTAATAGCCCATTTTTACAGTGCTTTGACTAAGTGCTCTATATATGTGTAAGCTTATTTGAATTATCTTCCAAGACCATTTCTTGAAGCTGTGTCAAAGCTTATTTCCAGTCTCTGAGAGTAGAAAGCAGAGCCCTCAGGCCATTTACATAAGCCAAGGAATGGAGAAGTTGAAAGTATCTGGGGAATTCAGTAGATTTTGACCATTTTCCCCAATGTAGGCATTACCTTACTATTAACTGGCATAGCACAACAAATGTCTCCTTGTGCAAAGGAGAGTTTCCTCTTATTTTTGTTAATAATGACCATTTTGCAGAAGAGAGGGGTCACAGAACTAGTAAATGGCTAAACTGGCATTTAAACTCAGTTTTAATTTCTTTTTAACCCCAATATGTGACATTATCTCCAGTGCTAGCTATTACCTAATTTAGCCTGACTCTTGAAAGCACCAAACACCTTTAGTCCTCCCAACCCTCTGACACCTTTATCCCTTTTGTACAAATAAGGGAACATGCACACATACTGCTTACAACCCAGAGCCATTTGTACTGTTGTATTTTTTGCAGATGGTGTATTAGTGATTTTAAATCTTAGGACAGCACAAAATGCTTTAGCATAAATAATAGCTGTGACCCGTACTGTCAACATTCATAGTCTCAGACAATATGCTGCAACAAGGTGTTCTGTGATCCTGTTATGTGTTTGGTATAGGAATCTGAAAAACAGAACTTTTTGGTAACATGGTCAAACAGCAATGTACCTTAAAATTTAAGTTCAATTACTTGATTGCTCTATAGGCTAGTCTAGTTTCTGAAAGGCTGGAGATAGAATTTTTCAAAAATAGCTGTGGAAGGGAAAGCCTCTGATATCCCAGCATGAGTTCTTGCTAGTGGGGTCTTCTCTCTCTTTACTCCAAGTTAGGTAGAACAACATGACTGAACACACAGGCTCTACCTGGTGGGGACTATCAAGTTGCAGTAAAGTAAGAAATGGGTTAACTTTGAGGAATTTGAGAAAGCTGAAGCTAAATACTTTTCAGGAAATTTGTGGTATGTTAAATGGTTTAACCTTGTCTAAACTTAGTGTTTTTACTTATGAAACATCTTTGTAGACAATTTGGAAAGTATGGAAAAATAGAATAAAAAAACTCATTTAATTTTACTACTCAATTTTAACAGTTGGATGTTTTTCCCCCTATTTTGTTTTGTAGGCTTAAGATAGACATTTTAAGCCAAAATTGGAAGCATAGTGTATATATAAATGATCAACCCTTTTTCCGCATATAACTTCTGTGATGGTATTTCTTTTGAAAAATTATTTTAGTGGCTGCAAGTGCTGTAATTTAAATATTCCCTTTCTTTTGAACATGTGGGCTATTTGTAGTTTTTCTCTTAAAACTCATGAGCTTTCTTATATATCTGATTATTTCATTTATGCTGATTTTTTTAAAAATTCAAGCTGGTGTTGAAGTACAGTACCTAGAATATGGAAGAGCATTGATTGGTGTGAGTGTAGTACCAACTCTGTCCAAGTGACCAAAATAGAATCTCTAACTCCTGGGTTTTGACTTTGGAAAAAAGAAAATGAAGCTTTTATTGAATCCAGTTCTGAGTATGACAAAGTATTCTTGACAGCCTCCTAAAAAGACATGTGAATGTAGTCAGTGGTTTTCTTTTTAAAGTCTAGTATTTCTCCTTCCATTGAATTGCTTATAAATTCTATTAGAAGGTTGAGGGGGTCTTTTATCCTTAAAAGCAAGAAATCTCCGTATGTTTAAGCAAATCAAATTTGTTTTCAGCTTAAAAAAATACTTAAAATTCTTACCGTAATTAGGTCCTTGGATTCCCAGAATTTTGATGTTTAGGGCTATGTCCACCTTTAACTGTAAACTGCATCTTTTCAAACCAGCTAAGATGATATACTTCACATTTATATTTTCATATGACATGCTTGTAAATCATGTATCATCCGTCTCAATTTTTGTGGAGTAAAATTGTGAAGCAGTTCTGAATATTATGATTTTTTTCTAAGGTAGATTACTTATTGCTGGTAATAACTAATCTATAATTATTAGGTAATACCAATAGAAAAAGTGGTGTGTTGGAGCTACCTCATCCCAGTTTGTGAGAGCCAATAGTGTGCGTCTCTTTTCAGCTCTGCATTCAGTGATGTCAGGTTGGTACCTTGTTGTGGTGGGAGTATTAACACCTGGGAAATTGAGAAATGCACAAAATACTTTTTCCCTCGGGGACCTGGATGTTAAATATTACCAGCGCACCCCACTCAGTAAGCTGTTACCACAACTTACATATGAGGGCTTTTGGTACCAAGAGCTCTAATGTATATCTGGTACATGTTTGATAATGATTTTTGCTCTTTAAAATTTTTTGTTATAAGTGCTTAGTAGTTTGATTATGTAAATATTCTGGGTTTGATTTTATAAAATCTAAAATGAGCTTTTTCTTGAACACAGTCCTGTGTGTATGACCAGCTCTCTGTGTGAATGAAGAAGACAGTGAAAAATCTTGCAAAGGCAGAAGTTTCATCTATTTAAATGATGAAAACTAGAGAGGATAAACGCTATTCTAAACCAGGAGTAGAAATGTTAACTCTATCTTCATGAGTTTAATTTTACTGTCTTTCTTACTTTGGGCTGCTGTAACAAATTACCGTAGACTGAGTGGCTTAAACAACAGATACTTATTTCTCGTATTTCTGGAGGCTGAGAAGTCCAAGATCAGGGTGCCAACAGATTTGGTGTCTGGAGAGAGCATGCTTCGTGGTTTGCAGATGGCTGACTTTTTGCAGTATCCTCAAATGCTGGAAAGAGAGATCTCTCTCATGTCTTTTTTTTTTTTTTAAAGATGACTGGTAAGGGGATCTTAACTCTTGACTTGGTGTTTGTCAGCACCGCGCTCTCCCAAGTGAGCCTACCAGCCATACCTATATAGGGATCCGAACCCGTGGCCTTGGTATCAACACCATTCTCTCCCAAGTGAGCCACGGGCTGGCCCTCTCTCCTGTCTCTTACAAGGGTACTAACCCCATCATGAGGGCTCTGCACTCATGACCTAATTACCTCCCAAAGGCCAACCTCCTAATAACCATACCACTGGAGGTTAGGATTTCAACATATACATTTTGGGGGGACGCAAACATTCAGTCCATCACACTTTCTAAGTTAAAGGATAAGAACCACAATAATTCTGGATCATAAGTCTTAAATGTTTCTGGTTAATTTGAAGGATTAAGTATTTTTGCTATACCTTTACATTCTTTAATAATTTCCTTTAACTTCCATTCATTTACTCAACAAATATTTATTAGAAACTACTGTGTGCCAGAAACTGCTCCTGGATAACATACAGTAGTAGTCAACAGAGCAGACTAAACTGTTCCCCTGTTTCATGGTACATAGAGGAGACAGTGTTAAATGAGAAACATACAAACACATTTTTAATTGCAGACTTTGGGATAAGAATCAAAAGGAAAGTCCACAATGCTGTGAAACAGTGTAAGAAGGAAATCTTATGAGGAGTTAAGGTAGGCTTTTCTGAGGAAGTGATACTAAAGTTCAGAGCAAGGATAATTAGGTGTTAGTTGGATGACAAGTAGGGAGAACATTCCAGATATAGGAACCAACATGTGCAGAGGCCTTAAGTCATGAAACAGCTTGTATGAAAAATAAAATTAATTTACGTGATCCAATTCACTCTCAATATTTAGAGCCCATTAAATCTGAAATGTGTGACCAAATTATTAGTCACTAAGAGGGAACATCCCTGCCAGTACATAACTTTTAGTATACTACATGGCCCCAGCATTAGGAGATCTATGCCACTTTTTCCATCCCAAAGGAGACCAGGGAAAGAAAAGCTTTCCTAAACTGTTTAGTTCAGTTAGGAGCAAAGAAACTCTCCTCTCCATTAGGGGATATTTAAAGTATGCAATCCCCTAGATAATTTAGGCACCAACCTACTGTTAAGGAAGAAAAGGCTCAAGTTTATTGACTGAATTCCTCTGATATTCATTCAGCTTCTATATGCCGTGGCCCGCACAAGTAGCCTGAGAGCTTTGCCCTCTTAACTTTCTCTCTAAGGTTGGAAATTAGCTTACAGCTTGACATGCCAAAAGCGTAAATGGTCTTGAAGAAAATTCAAATGTCTATTGCATCTTAGTGTAAGTCATATGAAGACTTTGCAGGCTGTATGGTCTCTGTCACAAGTACTCAACCCTGCCATTGGAGAGTGAAAGTAGCCACAGACAATACATAAATGAATGGGCATGCCTGTGTTCCAATAAAGTTTTATTTACAAAATCTGATGTGAGGTCAGGTTTGACCTGCAGGTCACAGTTTGTAGACCCCCTGTTCCAGATGACCATGCCCCCAGCCACAGCTGCCATCTAACTG